ATTGTGGCACATTAAATTTGGTAATTGTAAAAATTCATAATTAACAGCAATTACTAGGTACCATAGAGAGGCCTTCCATCAATTTTGATGTTAAATTCAATGGAACTTTGAGCTGAATTGTGTAGCCTGGCTTCTCTTGCCCAGATTAAAGCTTTAGGCAAACCAACACCATACCCAGTAAGGTCTATTTCATTATTAATTACACTCTCAATGCGAAGAAGAGTTTGTGTTGTGGAAAATACCATGCTCCTACAAGACTTCATCATGTTTTTAGAGAGAATGCACTGAAGGTCTTGCTTTTTCTGTGTTAATAAGAAATATCAAGTTTAAGTTATGCCCCGAGTAAGAACTAGGGAAGCAAACGGAAAAGGAATGCAAGAAGGTGCTAATTGTGCATTGTATAATCCATCCATCTCATTGGTTAAAACATGAAAATCTGCTATAATTTTACAAGTTAGCGCAATTTCTAATATTTTATTTGATGTCTGTTTTCACTTTCATGAAAGCTTTCTTTTGCTTCAATATTAAGGCAATTCTTCGTGGGGAACATAGCAAATTAGAAGCATTTTTGGCTTTTTGTTTTGTGTGCTTATGATTGGATAAGAGCTTTTAATACAAAAGAAACTTTGTTTCAAAATAGAGTTTATCCACAATTTATTTCAAAAATGTGTTACCCACTCAGCTACTCTAAGGCACGGCTTAAAAACAAAATTTTGACCCCTGCGAAGTTTTTGACCGAGGAGACTGGACTCGAGGTTTCCTTGACAACGATTGCAAATGTTATTCAATATGGTGTCGCACCGAGGGACGCGAGTAGAAGGATTTGTTCGTTTAAATGCCGTATTTTCATGTCATAAATTTGGTATAATCCATTGAAGTTAGTCGCGTTCTCCCGAGGACTATGTTTTACGACCATGTTAAAGGAAAAGTGTGTATTCTCTCGACGGAAACTCGAGGTATGTATACAAACTTACAATGTGGTTTCATGCATGCGTTTTAGCTTTATTTTCTTGATGGTATACTAACGGATATGATACTAATTCTTTTAAAAGCTGCCAAATAAAAACAAGTATTCCATTCCAGACCATT